TCAAGATCTAATACTTTTCCAGTTTCAATACAAATTATACTTGTTATTCCAATTTTCGACGAGTGACCTCGAGTTTTGCAAGATCCGTCACCATTGACAGTATTGTGACTGTCCTGTTATTTCAATTTTTTGCTTTGCAGCATTTGACATTGATAAATCAGCAACGTCTTTCACACAACGGGTAATCTTTTGCAATGATTTGTGGTATGCACTTTGTAGCAGGTGGGGGCAAATCCATTGCACCATAGAAATTCTTCATCCCAGGTTGACCTTGGTCAATACATCTCATAGCATAAATAAACCTCCTGTTTACTTCAGCCACATTTGATTTTGCTCCCATCATAGGACAATTTCTGAAAGAATTCAGTTTTTTACAACCCGCACATTCAATCGTAAACACAGATGATAATCCATGATTTATGAATTTCAAATATATTTATGTGTGAGCCACATACTTTGCAACGCAAAATACCTGAAGTTTCAGAAAATAAAATGCCAATTGCTATTATTCTGTATCTTAAACTCTGTGTTGCACTAAAAGTATTATTAAAGCAATCACTGTTTAACTTTTTAGACGACGAACTAACACCATCAGACACTTTAGTCTCATTGACATCTGTGTATTTGTTGCCATAAAACTTAACTTTTTAAATTTATCTATCAAAAAGCAGAAATAAAAACATGGAATTAAAGAACTGAATTTCAATAATTGTCACAAAACACTGTGAAGTTAAATAATATATATTAAATGAAAATTCAATCACAATTGCAAGCGACACAAAAATCAAATTAAAATCAAATCACAATATACAAATGTAGCAAAATACTATGTAAACAAACCAAGTGAAATTAGGAGTTGTTATGTATGTTTTACATGTTTCTCTTCTTCGTCAATTAATTAGATTAAAAAAATAAAGCTTTGCATGCAACGCCAAATTTAAGATGAGTGCGATATGACTTCAAAATGTAAACAAACTTTCATGGCATCTGACTCGGGGCATGTAAATCAAAAACCATGAACTGAGGTTCATATTTTCCATTATAACTCGACAAATAATTATTGGAGAAGTAAAAGTATGGTATGAATTTATTCAGAATAAAATGCTGTACCAAATACAGTAGAAGTCCAGAAATCCGCAACGCTTGAGACCAGAGGTTGTGCAGATTTTAGGATTTTGTGGATTTCAGGACAGAAAAGATGATATTCAGACTAAAAGTGCAAAAATAAATAAGGCATATTAGTTACATTTAATTAAATAATTATATACATTATTGCAATAATTTTATATATGCATTAAACTATTATTACATATATAACTGTACAATAAAATTCCAAAAACTGATTTTTTTGATAATTTTAAAGGTGTACTGCCTCCGTAATAATGAGAATGAAGGGAAAAGATTACTACAGATTAAAAAAAAAATTTACCATCAAATTTTATGTATAATTTTTGAAGACAACTTTGTTTATAACATGCTGATTGCAGACATTAGCCTAATTATATAAGCTGGATTTTTGGAAAATGTACAGCTACTTTCATGTTGCTGTCAATTGCTGTTTGGTATGGTAGCCATGATTAAAGCACCATGAAGTATCCATGTACTTCTGTAGGTAAGAAACAGTATTTAAACCTTATCCAGGGAAAGAAACCATTGAGTCAAAAATTGAAAAATATTCAGCTGAAAAGTTTTTATGAACTTTTAATTTCTGTAAACATGTATTTATCATGTTGTGTTTTTATTAACTATGATAAATGCAGCATATTTCAAAACTAATGGAATAAACATTTTTTTATCCTAGAATATATGGTCGCACATTGAGCATTGAACGGTGCTTTGCATTTCCCCAAGTATTCTGCTTTTCGCAGTGCAAAGACAAGAATGGCACAAAGAATTAAAATAAAGCTGTCTTTAAGACAAAATATTAGAAAACAAAACAACTGCATGACATGGTTGAATCAACCCAAATATAGAAACATTAATAATGATCTAATTACAACTATAAAAACTCTTCAAAAGAACAGCTGACACTCCTGGTACAAACTCTTCATTATAAATACTAAGATATCCTAATGTTCTATAAAATCTAAAGTATTCCTTGGACATCTACAGCAATGACTGAAAATCTGGGGACTATTTTCTTTTCAAAATCGATGGAATTTTTATACATTATGCACTTAAGATGTTCCCATAACAAGAAATCGAAAGGTATAGAATTGATGAGGTGGAAGCCACATGGGTTTATTTTAGCCAATCCATTGACCTATGAATGTGACATCTAGATAATTACACAGTCATAAAATGAGTGAGTGCTCCATCTAACACCACAGTTCATAGCAATGACATAAACAAGACTTACTTTCACAAGATTTGTATCCAGGCAGTTAGTCATGAATGATACTCACCTAAACATTAACTGAGAATTGTAGCTGGTAGTAATACTATGCAAGAACATTTTCAGTGATAATTGTAGTACTAATTAGTAGTAATGTAATCAGTAGCCTATGCAGTAGTAATGCTATGCAAGAACATTTTCAGTGGTAATGTAGTAATCAATAGTAACATAATCAGTAGCATGTGCTAGTAGTAATGCTGTGTATGCTAATTTTTTGCTGCCCTTGTGCATTTGTTATTCATGTTATGTTCAATAACTACAGTACAAAGTTCGAGATCTGGACTCGTTGGGACTTCGTCGATTCCGGATATTAGATCATCAATTTAAGTCGAGTAAGATGACATGCAAAAGTTATAAAATTAAAAATATGAAATCGTGATTAATAGTCACTAGCGCATAAAACATACTATCTGTGTTATAGGTACACTTGTGCTGTAGTTTACAGTTATTGTGCTGTGTGTCAGGATGATCTCTGATATTTCTTTTTCCTTCTGTGGCTAGGTATTTTCACATTAAATATCATTTAGCACTTTCATCTCTGAAAACATTGCCTAAAGTGCAGCATAGAGAGCACTTGATATTTTACTTGCAGAAGAGGGATAGACAATTACAAACATCTATTCTTTCTTCAAAATTCAAACCCAGGAGGCCCGGTGATAAGGCAGTCCATTCTGCTAACTACCCTACTGAGCAGAACAGCAAGTACTTGCCATCTGTAGTGGCCTTGGCAAAAAAAGTGGATTTGGCACTTTTCTGCATTGGCAAGAAAGTTATCAATCTGCGCGCATGTGAAAAACAAAGAGTTACTGATCTGCACATGTGCACCAGACAAACTGTTGATAATCTAACTCATTTTTCATATTGTTACAAAATGCCCAGTCGCAGTAAAATAGCTTCCCCGCAAAGAAGGTTTAAGGTTGCCAGAAAATGCAAGGAAAAGCATGTTTGCCAGATTTGGTGTGAAATCACCCATGTGGTGACAAAGTTCTTAATATGTCATTGATGGATGGAGAACATTCTAGAACAAATTCTTATCCGTTTGGCGCAAAATATTCTCAAAGGCAGGCCAAAAGCTATATAAACTCTGCCTGTACGCAAAGTAGCAATGCATTGTAGCACATCGTCGAGTGAATTGTAAGTCTTATCGTGAAGAGTATCTTGAGCTTTGAGAGTGATTGGCTGAGCTGGGAGCTGTATTTAGTATTTTGCCATGAGGCTGTCTTCTTTGTTATATCCTGATAGCCTGAAGGCTGTGTTGCTGATTGTTTCAAAGTGCTTGTCATAGTTTTTCGATGACTGTAAACATCTTTTCAGAACTGTCCTGAGTAATATTGGCAAATAAATTGTGTTTGATACTTCATAGAGTGTTGTCATCAATCACTCTAGATCCACGAACCTGTAGAATGCAATGTAGGATTAGGATTCTTCAATTATGGCAAAGCATACAAGGGCTATCTGCCTAAAGGGAGTGATGCCTTCGTGGAGGACATTCTTAGGGAAACTGGCTCGTATACACCTTAAACATGGGGAAAACCGCAAAATCAGCCCATTCGTGGGATTCGAACCTCAGGCCAAACTACCAGTGTTCAGCGTCTTTACCGTCTTGCAACAATGTATCTGCACATGTTTAAGAGACAAACTGTTAATGATCTAACCGATTTTTTGTATTTCCTTTATGCCTCTTTTTTTTTTTTTTTTTTTTTTTTTGTGTGTGTGTGTGTGTGTGTTTGTGTGTGTAAGGTACGTATTACTTCCAATCTACCATTAATGGGAGAAGCTATTATTGATGTTTGAGGTATCATCAGTTGAAACTGCTAAATTCTGGCCACTAGAAAGCCAGTCGAAAGAGTTTGTCCGAAATTAATTTTCTAGTATATTTTATATATTTTTCTTTTTTAATAAATTTTATCAAATAATACATAAAAATTTCTGTCATATTTATACATTTAGTTATTTTACAAAAATAGATTACATAATTGCATTAAGTTAAATAAATTATGCTGATTTACGTTATTATTTAAAATAAGTTGCGGGCAGAATTTTGTTAAATATTATAATAAATACAAATTTATATTTGTTATGTAACTTGTATTGTGTAGATACCGAATGATTTTGAGATTTATCATTTACCTTAATCAGTTTTGTTTCCATGGATGTTTACGTTTGGCAACAAATCACACTTTCTTAACCCAAAATTGAACCAGTGCTGTTTTCCGTCACCAAGGCTGCTAAAAAAGGCAAGTATCAGATAACATTTCTCCTGATGTAAAATAATTTTTGATATGTCTTGTGTTCTGACACATTTTTCCACTACTCATTTGTATGCAATCCATTCCAAGGAGTTAATGATAGAGCATCTGAAAACTACCCCATTTATAGATGTTTCTAAAAGTCTTTGCACTGTGAATAGTGGTGAATATTTGAAAATGGATAGTCATTGTATTAGCATATAAAATTATGAAATAGGAAATTGAACATGGTATTAAACTGTTTTCTTGAACTCATGATTGTAAAGAGCTCTGGCACCAATAAATTTTAATTTTTTAATATCTTCATAATTATTATGTAGACTATTTTGATGACATTCATTCATTTTGTCTTTTAGGAACTTCTGGAAGGTTGTGATTGTTTCTTTTCCCATCATCCACCTAGCATTGCTGAAGCTACATCTACAATTGCCAAATTGTTAGGAACCCAAAAGAAAAGGCTGACTGAATCTCAGCATAATATGATTGCTGAATTTCTGAAAGAAGATTCTAGTGCACGTTTCTCTCATTTACTTGGTCTTATGTCTTTACAGTGGGCTGAAATGTTAGAAGAAAAAGCTGAGAGTATTCAAAAGAACACTGAAGGACTTGTTTTTCAGTATTTATCACATGTTGAATCCCACTTAGGTGTAACATTAATAACTTTTGTACTTGGACTTTTGGTTGTTGCTAAGCATGGAATTTGTGAAAGTGAAATGCTTGATTTATTGTCATGTGAAGATACTGTATTAAATATAGTGTTTTTTGGTGAAGAACCAAGAGTCCGTAGATTTCCCGCTGTGCTTTGGGCATCAGTAAAAAAATTTTTAGACCCTTTTATTCAAACCCAAGTTCTTGGAGGTCGAACTTTAACAATGATTTCATGTGAAGCATATAGGACAGTAATTGAAAAATATCTTAAAAATAAAGGGCACACAATTAAAGCTTCTGTGCAAGTACTTGCTGATTACTTTTTTGGTAAATGGGCTGAAGGCAGAAAGAAACCCATTTCTTTCAGTTCGGAAAAAGCACAAGATAGATTTGTTTTAGATCAACCCCTTGCATTTGGGCCCAACCCCAACAGGAGAAAACTCGAAGAACTTCCTTATCTTGTTTTACAGCTTAATGATTCTATACAGGACAACTTTTTATTTGATGCAACATGGCTTTTATACAAGTTTTGTGGTTCAGATCCTTTCCAGTTACTAGAAGACATTTCAGGATATGTAAAAACATTATCAGAAATTGATAAACAAATAGAATTGCTTGAAAATTTTGTACAATTGTCTAGTTATGCACTGCGCAGTGATGGGTCTCAGTTTTTTGCGCAAATGTATGGCCGTCTGAGGAACATTTTTACGAATTCAGAAAATGCTTCTCATTATCCTGCTATAAAAAGCATGTATGATACATCATGTAAACCTCCACTTTCTTCATTATTGCCCATTGGCTCTTGCTTAAAAGAACCTGGCATTGCTGTTCCCTTGACTAATTGCAATTCTGAACATAAGACCAATTCTCCAAACACTGACTCACCAAATGGGAAAAGCTTTCCTTTTACTGGTTTGTACACTATCAAAGAGGATAAAGCTCATGCTGTATCAATATCTAGTGAAACCAATGAAATAGTAGTATGGAACATATACGAGCAGGCTGCTGTTAGACGCATGACTGGAATTAATCAGCCCAAAGACATTAAGATGATTGATGTTCATCGAGCTCTAGTTTTGTGCAACCGGGAATTAAAAGTCTATCATCTAGACCAAGGCACTTTAGTAGTGAAGTTAAAAGGTGTGATGAATCAAAAAATGGCTTATTATGGTTTACATAATGAAAATTATGCTGTTGCTTTGTCAAGAAATCGGATGTACGTCAACATGACAAATCTTGCTACAGGGGATCTTGAAACCACTTTTAAAGTAGGAGAGGACAGGTATGTGTCTATCATTTAGCATTTATTATTTCTTGAATTCCAGACATGCATATTCAGAGCTGAAATCTGATTAAGAGCAATAATATCTTTATATGATTGCATGTAAGTAGTATGTTTCTTTCATTATTATGCTGCTGTTTAATAGTGTGCTAGAAATTTAGGGATATATATTTCCTTGGTTTATAAAAAGATATAAACATTTCATTTTATTCGTATAAAGACAAAGTTCTTTATGTTTTTTTTGCAAATATATACAGCATTATTTCAATGGTATACATCAAAACAAAGTTGTTTCTATTGTAATTATTATATAACATTTAAAATTCTTTGCAGCATTTCTATGTTATTAATTTCAGTTAACTTCTTCCCTTTCAAAATACTCGTATTTTGTGTACCCCTTTTGTTCAAAATTAATAGGGAATTTTTTTTCTTATAGGATTAGTTATTTTCCTTATAGAATTTTGTTAAAATCATTTTATGATTGCTCAGTCATGTGTGTCCTGATAAGCTGTGTATATAGGGTATGCCAAAAGTAACATGAGATTTAAATATACACAACAAATCTTTATTTATGCATGAATTACTAATTTTGTGGTATACTTTGAAAAAATAAACATTCCAATTAAATGGGGAAAACAATGATCAGAAATGGTTGGCATGCATGTACTATAAATGATGGATTTCACAAATCCTCAGAGATAAAAGACATACTCTGTAAAATCACATTGACACACGCTGACTTTAATTGCCAATTGTGATTGCTGTTTCACAGAATCAGTCACTTAGAAAGTTTCTGCTGTAGCAACTCAATGGTTTTATGCACATGTGACACCATCCTTTTGGAAGAATGTGTCATTAATATCAAAGTTATGGCTTCCAAATGAAGTCACAAAAAGGCTGTTATAATCTTGCAGTAACATACAACATTAATGGTTACTGCACTCATTTTTGAAAAGTATAGCCTGATAACTCCACCACAATAATATGCATAATGCGGACATTCCTCAGGCATAAGTAGGCTTTTCTTCAATAACATGAAGATTTCCCATGTCCCAAATACGACAATTCTGCTTATTTAGATACCTATCTAATTAAAAATGGGTATTGTTATTGAAGATGATTTTCTTACCAAAATCACCATCTACTAGCAAATTCTCCAGAACCCAATTGATTAATTCCACTTTGCTTGTCATTCACCTTAAGCTGTTGAGTCATCTGAATTTTGTATGGATGCATACTCAGATATTTCCTCATAATTTGCTGCATATTACTCCTCAGAATATCTGAAACTGAAGAGACCTGTGGTGAATTGATGTTCTTGAACACTCAGTGACACGAATGCTAACAGTAGCAATATTTTTGGCTAGGCCTCTAGTATGAGGACAATAACTTCTTTTGTTGTCTATCACCAAACCTATTTGTTTAAACTCCTGAGCCCACTTTTTTATAATCATTACATTTGATGCATTTTTCCACACAAACATATCACTTAATTTTGACTCAGTTTCATCAAAACACTTTCCGTATTTGTAATATGTTTTCTTATTACAAAGTAGTTATGCACTGCTGCATCGTGTATTTCTCCATTACAACTAATTCACTATTAATCAGAATGTGATTATTGGAACATGTTCTTCAGAGAGCATTGTCAACCCAACAGTTAAAAAACGGTGACATGCAGTTTTAAATATTTTGAGGTGCCTTTTATATATTACATTGTATTAATTATAGATAATGCAGACAAAATAGTCTGTGTGTTTGCGCTATTCAAAATTTATAATTTTATGTGCTGATATGAGAATATTTATTTTAAATATTTGTACATAATTCATAAAATTTATTGGTTTTGGATTAAATATTAAGGATACTTGTGTGATAGTCTATTTATGTTTAAGTCATAAACATACCAGTTTTCTGGCAATCAATGTAGTAATTGCATTTGTTGAAAAAACTTCTATTCATCTTCTCAGGCAAAATAAACCAAAGCTTGTTAATAATTTAAATTTCCCATTGATTTAAGTAATGTACAAAAATTTGAATAAAAAACAAACTACATACTTTCACTTCACCCAGTTTAAAAAGATCTTTAGTATTATAAAAAAGAAAAATAAGATGTTTAGTTTTTATCATAAATGAAAATTAATTTCCATATTATACTTCGATTAAATCAGAATGGATTATCTACTAAATCAATGAAAAAATATTTAATTGTTTAATTTTATCAAGAAACATGTTAAATGTGTTCTCTTTTTTCATGAGTTCGCATCCCTGAAAATGCAGACATTGCGCTCTAAGATCTAGTCTGTTTACAAAACATGTTTGCTTCTCTCTGACTTCTGTATACTAGAGATCCTATTTAGCATGATGCACAGAATATTGACTTTGGACCAAGTGGGGACCGTTTCATCACAGATGAGTCCTGATTCAATTTAACTACTGGTTATTGAACCTTCATCTAAGTAGAAAAAAATGTTTTTGAAACAGGACTATCTGTAAGCCATCATTCGAGAATGAAACAAATATACAGCAGAGGTTTGATGGTTTGGCAGGTGTCATAGTGGATGGGTGCACAGACCTTCATGTCTTTGATGGAAGCTGTATGACTGCAAGTTGTAAAAGATCTTAGATTCCTATGTCTCCCTTTTCAGGGATAGAGTTAGCTCTCAATAAATTTTTATGGGTGACAGTGCTCATTCATACAAGATTAATCCGTTGAATGATTTTTTGGAAAGTTATTAACCAGATGGATTGGCAAGCCAGATCTCTAGAACTAAACCCTAGAGAACGTACCTAAGATGCTTTTGAAAAGGTAATAATAGCTCATCTTTCTCTTTCCAGATTGTTCCAGGACTTGGAAACAGCATTGTCATAAGAGTGGAACTAACTGCTATAAGAAATTATAAACTACCTTATTTCCTGTATGAAGTCATAGTATGTCAACTGTGTGATTATTAGAGTGGACCATACCTCCTAAGACTCTTTTTTTTTTTCTTTTTTTTTTCTTCTATTCGGTCTTGCAATCTCTGTTTTTGACCGTCCTGCACTGATGAGCTTTATGTATCATCATGCATGACCATGTCTGTTGTATGATGATACTTTTTTTTTCCTTTTAATTATATCAACCTCTATACATATCAGATTTTATTAAAATCTATCCAACAGTATTGGAGATAATCAAACAAATAAGAAAATTCTTTTAATTTTGAGCACCAAGGTGTAATTTTGGAGTCATTACATGTATGTTCCTTAAAAGTAATGTCTGCACCAGTACTCTTCATTAATAATCTCAATTTTGTCATTGTCATTTTACTGTTAGTGCTAATACTATTATTCAAGTCCAAACCACAAAGATCATATTTATAGCCGTTATATTTTTCTGGATATTTCTTGCAGTAATTTTCTGAAAAGGGGTTTGAATTATTGGCTTTCTTTACAACATTTTTAAATTCTTAATTATGTTCAGATTAAAAATCGCAGTGCACTTCATCAAATTGTTAAAAAAAGGAAGAAATTTTACATTTTGTTAAAAAGTTAGTAGTTTGAAATGAGAGGTACATTTTGTAATTTTGTTTCTCATTACACATCAGGTGCTGATAATGAAACAAAATCTTAAAGATTTTCTTTTTTTCATTCCATTATCCATTTCCTTGAGTCATTCTGTAAAAATGTCCATGGTTGTTCAGGCACTTTTATCCTTTTCATACTTTAATAGCAAGTTTTAAACACTTTTGAATCATTTTAGTTTGTGATTGTTTATAAGTTTATAAGTGAATTATAAATATCTTCTTTTCTATTCTGTTACCATTTGCATAGAAAAAAATAGTGAGGTAATATTTGAAGAGTTTTGAAAAATTTGTGTTTCCTCTCCTTGTGGCTTGTGACAATGCTGAAGAGGATAAGTGCTATATAATCCCATGGTAGAAGACAATATTGTATATCTTCCTGATGTGGCTGTCTGCAGTGTTTGCTGAGATGACCGATAGTTGTGATTATCTCCAACATGGTGTACCGATGTGACGCATGGCATCCTGATGTGGAATGTAGCTGTCAAAGACAGGAATGAAAAGAGGAATTTAGTAGAATGTCCAGGATTGCATTTACTATGAAGTAATGCATGGAATTTCAGCCAAGTACCTGCTGACCTAATGTAATGGCTAAATAGACTCTATTCATTTAAAACAGCACATTATATGAATCAAGTTTTTGCCTATTATGCATCTTATGTTTTTTCTCACATGTCATAGGTTGGCATAACCTGTTCATCTATTTTGTGAAGCTCAAAGAAAACATTAAAATGTATGCTTCACTTACATCAAGTATGCTCCTTTTGTAGGCAACCACGTTTCGCACTACATAAGTACTCTTAACAAATCCCTAATCCAAACAACAAAGATATTGCATATTTTAAGTTGAAAATGGGAAAAGTCAATTACGCCCTTTGCCAAATTTCGAACCATGGATCTTCAAATTCCTAGCTGGATGTGCTACCATTTATGCTTTAAAAGCATGCAGGAGAGAATTTGTTAATACATTACATTCTTTTGTATTTAACATGTTGAGGACAGCATGTAGCACTGGTGGCTCACATCAGCTATAGTTTTATAATACAGTTGTGGTAGAGGAAAAAAACTTTACATTGTTAAAAATAACTTTTTTATTGAAAAATTGAAAAGCTTATTTTTACAGGTAGATTATGAAAAACTTAATGTATTTACATATTTGTTTGGTTTTGTGGGTATTTTTTTTAACATTTTAGACATATTGGTTCGGACACCTTTGCAAAATCAGCAAACCATTGTAACCCTTTTCGATTTATTTGCAGCAATGTTTCTACCTCGTCGAGCAGATAAGGATTTATAATATTCATGGCATCGTTTCTGCCACTTTCTCGCAGTTCCAGAATACTTCTCAAGAAAATGTGTAGTTCTTCTTTTAGGTGTTTGTGGTTCTGTAGGCATTTCATCCAGGAGCCAATCAATAATATTTTCTCTAAATTTTAAAATATTAAAATGCTTGGTACCAAACCTCTTATGAATTTACCATGCATTGACAATTGATGTTGCGCAGATCAATTCTATGATACGTTTTCTGTACCATTTAACGGTTTTACGTAAGGAATTGTGATGTGATGCAATTTGATCAGATATATCAACACCTTTTTTTACATTATTGTAGTCAAAAATAGCATCAGGTTTTAGTTTACCACTTGTTCCTTCAGTCATAGTACAAGTATGATTGTTGCAAGTAATTAACATGCAAACTGACCGTTTGTCTCTCCATTTAAAAAATTTAACTTCTTTAGGATTTTCAACACTCACAATGTCACCTCGTTTTAGTTTTAATTTTGCTTCTGCTGATAGAAATTTTCTATTTATTTTTACAGTACTACATAAATTCATTGATTTATCTAAAAGTTCTTCAGCTAAAGGGTGGTTCATTCGGTGGAACGATATAGCAAAATCTGTGCTGTCCTCAACGTGTTAAAGGGTGAATGGTCAGAGACATAAAACTCGGTCGACCAAATCCAGGTAATGAAGGGTTATTATCCATCATATTTTAATTCAGTTTGCCACTAGAGTCTTGTGGAGTAGAAAATGTGAAAAATCAACTGCACATATGCAGAATTTGAGCTATAGATCTTTTAATTGCCACGTAGATGAACTAAACACTTATATCACAAGAGCTTGCATTAAAAAAAAAATGCAGTAATTCCGTTTGTCTTTTCTTTTATTGACTCCATTACTTGATCGCCTTCAAAGACTAGAATTCTTACAGACATGAAATGATAAAAGAGGCTTATTTTATTAATATCAGAAAGCTGTCCTGGCTTACATTCATCTATTACATTGAATAAATCCTTGAATTAGTCTTAACAGCTTCTGCTAGGAAATTATGTTATTTTCCACTTATAACATGATAATTCGTGGTGCAAATTTAATTTATAAGCCACGCAGTTTAAAAACAAGTATTTTTCACACCCAGTTGCAATAGTTTTTTTGTCTTCTCAATCTGCATGTGCTCATTCACTAGAAAATTTGATAGATTGTATCAAGTTAAAAACTGTAGCAAAATATACGGAATCTTAGGAAATTTTTCACTTTTAGGATGCAGTTTCTTTATAACTATTTTTTTATTTCTTTCTTCAATCAAAACAGTTGTTTTCAATGTTTACTAAGTAGTTATCCAGTTCTTTTTTACCCTACTATTATAGTTTTATCAGTCTACTATTCTTGCTTTAAAATTTCATTTTTTGAAGAGGGCAAGATGTTTGTTTGTTTAGTGAAAGTTTCATTTGTTTTCCACACAAATAGGTTAAAGACCAAACAGCAATGAAAAGGAAATGTTTTTACCTAGTGTCATGAAAATGAAGTGCTCAAAATCAGTAAATTTATCTTTGCTATCAACAAAATAATCTAGTCTTATTGTATCTGCTCCAAACAATTATCTTTCCAGATCAACAAATTTCAGCTTCCGTGCCAGTCAAGGATATTCCACATTTTGTCCCCTTTTCCTATCCCCACTGTAGCTTCCAAAGATCACCAAAAGAATGAAATGACTTCCAGAGAAACTATTTGAGTTATAGAAAAAAATATCAATGAATAAACCAGGAGCAGAACAATGTTAAACTGAAGCTAATGTATCATATAAATGGAATGTTTTACTGTTAACATGACTAGGAAGAATTTGGACAAAAATGAAAGAATGTATATAAGTGACACACATAAGACCTGTAACTGAAAAACATTTAAAGGGTTCTCTATGCATCTGATTGACACAATTTTAATACATCAAAATGATAATTTTTATAACCATTTGCAGCAGCATTATAATTAATAAGAACATGTTTCTATTGTTATATATTATGTATCTTGGAACAGACTCATTTGACTTCTATATTTATTTTCATCATCATTTTATTCTTATTATGAGTTTATAATTTCATTATTATTAATAATAAATATTTCTGTAGGTTTTTAAACAGTCTACTTGTATCAGCCAATGGCCGAATATGTGTCTGTGGAGATGAAACACAGAAACCTTTTCCTTTACTAGTATGGGATCTAACAAGCAGGAAATTAGTATATGATCTCAGGATACCTCACCATGAGTTTGTGACGCGATTGTCTGCAATTAGTGATGATGGTCATTATGTTGTATCTGTCTGCAGGGTTAGTTTTTTCATTATTTTACCATCCTACTAATTAAATTTATGCTATATGAAGCTATTTTTGTTACATTAAATTGTGTGAACTTAATACAGTAGAATTTCTTTAATGTGCATATCTTGCAAACAAGGGTTATGTGCATTAGTGAATTTTGCAATTACAGATTATGTTTTTATGAGTTTTGTTCATATTTAGATTCTTTGCATATAAATAATAAAAGCAACATCTTATATTGAGAATAATTCAAAACCATTATATTTTTAAATATAATTACATACATACATTAATGTTATAAATGATTACTTTTATATTTTAGCTACATCATTTCTAGTGTTGCTTTTTTCCCCCCTTTCATTATTTTTTCTTGAAGAGTACTTATGGTCTTATTTCCTGCTGTTTTACAAAATTTTACTTTTCTTGAAAGCTTAGATACTGTTGGCCATATGCTAAACCTTCACCAAAAGTAATTTTTGCTTTCTCATTATCAAACTCAGTGCCTGTGTTTTCATCAACTAATTTAATAGACTGTAATAGTTTCATCAATCACCCTCATCATCAGGCAGGGCCCATATCATTGGAATCCTCTAGTCTAAAATATTCTTTTAAAAGCTCCACTTTTGGCAAATGAAAACAGTTGTGCTGTTTTTCCTTTACATTGCATAAAACCTGAAAAATCTGTAATGTCATTCGTTTTCGTTAAAGAGTGTCAGGGGCTACAAAGTTAATGGCATATTTTTTTTTTCCTTAAGAAATTTGCATCTAAAATATTTCAGATTTAACAGCAGGAAACATAAAACAAAAATATAAAGAAAAGCATGTATTCACATTTACTTCACTAATGTGGGGAGTTGCAATATAGTTCAAATCCAAATTGAAAAAAAGTGAGTACACAGGGAAAGATTTAGTAATGAGAAAGAGACAGATGATAATGTTAATTTTTTCAAGAATGAAAAACCTATCGAAACATTTCATGTAAGCAAAATTACTTTCAAAATGACTTTCATGCTCTTAAATTAAAGCAAAAAATAAATAAAATGGGCTGCTAAAATGAATCCCTATGCTATTTCTGTGATTATATTCAGCCTGTATAGAAAGTAGAGATTTACCTAAGATGAAATATTTGGCTGAGATTCCTGATCCGTAGTAGTAATAATAATGATAAAAAGTGCTACTGTATATTCAGAAAAAGATAGATTACTTAAATTAATAAAATATTTATTGTTGATTTTTTTAATTTTTAAAGTAAAATGTTTTACCCTGGCAGGAGCATAATTGTTCCATTCTCTTCTTTTATATGTGTCTATTTATCATGATTGAATTACATTAGTATTTCAACCAAATTTCTCACTTAATTGTTTGTCTGGTGTGTTTTCCAGCATGGAATGAGAGTAATTAGTTCTACATGTCACTCTGACTAATAATGAAATTATGTTAATATGATGTAGAATTATAAATTTGCTGCTTAATATAAGTAGTAAAATTATTAATTTTACTTGTTAGTTCAAAAGAGCAAATTGGAAAAACTTAACCCTTCTGTTGCAAGATTAAGCAATTCTTTATTCCCAAATATGCACGATGTCTGTCAGTTGTAAACTTGAAATGCGAGCTGAGCTCATTGATGACCATTAAAGGATTATGCGGGGTCTAATTTATTTAAGTTTAATTTATTTTTTAAAATAATAAAATTAAATTTCTTAAGACTTAAAATTTTATGAGAAGATAAATTCCGATTCTCTCAGCTTTTTGCCCTGGGAGATTATTTGTTTTTCATCATGTCTCCTTATTTTCATCATTATTAACATGGCAGTGCCTTTTGTCCCTCAGATCTGTATCCATTCAGATCTTCATTGCTAAATACGTATTAGACTATGCGTATTTAGAATAAGGAGTGAAAAAACAAGTTTCTCTTTGAAAATATTGGATCTGTGTGAATCATAGGCTCCTTACAGGGTGGTACCGCCTCTCTGCAAGCTGGAGCCTTCCATGGAAGTGGTAGATGTCTAAAGATAAATGGGGAGGGGGTACGTTAAGATGGACATGAGGGGCGACTGTGATGTACCTACCTATTTAGGAAATTAATATTGGTAGAATACTTTGAAAATACCTGTTTTCATGAGTAAACATTTTATCTAGTTATCTAAATTTTTCATCTTATTGTTATTGCATAAATAAGCATTAAAAAATTTAATTAGCATTATGTATGCGTACACCTAATTCTGTTTAGTATTGTCTCCTCCGGGTAATGATGTACTCACCAGGGTACCTAGGCACGAGGCCTTACTCCTAATCGAAAAATTAGATTTTTTAAAGGTAAATGCATGGAAGGAGAAACAAATATAACTAAATATAAAACTGGTACAGGTGAGCTCACAATGTGACTAAATAATTAAAGGTAAACATGGTAAATACTGAATATGCTATAAGTAAATGAACACAGGTACAACAGAAGTTAGCAGAGATAACACACATACATAGTCGGAACTTAATCATTGTCCATATTCTGAATTGACATAGGTCTTTTAAAGTGCATAGGATTGTTAGCATCATAGTGTCATATTTTGTTATCGGGGTTGTCAATCAATTTTTGTCATTCATAAAGGTTGTTTGCAATTCGGTAATAACAAGTTCTTAATAATTCCATCTTCAGTTCCTGGTAAATCCTCTTTTTTTTTTTTTTTTTTTTTTCTTCGTACCATAGAGGGTCTGTAATTTGGCACAGAATGCAGTTTTGAGCTGTCTGGAGTTTTTCCTGTTTGAACAATACAAACAGGTCATGCATAACATAGCAATGGTTGCAAGATGTCTGCAGAAAGAATTCTCTTTTGTGCAATTAAGGGGAAGAAATATGCTTTACGGGCTCAGACTTCTGAATAATAGATGTAATGCGTGTGGCCATTGTGAGAGAATTAGTGAGGATCACCCCGAGATAAGAGACCTGCTTGGTGCAGGGGATAGTAGTTCCATAAAATTTGAGATTCTTTTTTATCTTTTTCTTTTTGGTGAACAGGATGGCTTGGGTCTTGTACATGTTTGCTAGAATTTTCCATTTTTGCAACCAAGTCTCAAGTGTTTAAATGTGCTCTTGGAAGCACTCAGTGACTGGACTAAGAAATGCACTTTGTGTCAAGATCACTGTGTTGTCTGCATACATTGCTAATGTGATGTTGGGTATGGTGGGAATGTTGCTCATGTAAATATTGCAAAGTGTAGGACCCTTGGGAGACACTGGCTAATTTAAAGAATGTGTGCCAGAAACATGAACGACAAAGTGTCTGCCTGTCAGGTATGATTTAATTATGTTTTTGAAATAATCTGAGAAACCGAGATTGTGTATTTTATATATTAGTGTGACAAAGTGCGGGGGGGGGTGCAAGAAACATGTACAAAAAAGTGTCTACCTGTCAGGTACGATTTAATTATGTTTGCTATATAATTTAAGAAACCCAGATTATGTATTTTGTATATTAGTTAGTTCCCCCTGTGATCTTCATGATTTGGAATCCTTCGGTGATAATCTCAACTACTCTGTAGAGTTGATTGGTTGTGGAGAGATTTCTTCTAAAACCGAACTGGTAAGGTATGATATTGTTATTGTCCAGGTAGGTATTTATTCTCTTGAGTAGAACAGCTTCGTTAATTTTGCTGAGAGATGACAGAAGACTTGTATGACTCTGGTGCTGTAAGCAAGCTTCTTTGGCTTGAGGATCAGAGTGATGATGGCTAATTTCCGGATGTTTGGGAAGTATTGCCGTTCTAGAATCGTTGATGATTTTGGTGAAGATGAACACTGTTTTGATTGGAAAGTTCTTTATCATGGTGTTAGCCACAGCTCTTATTCTTGTCAAAGCCACAGCTCTTATTCTTTTCCAGCTTTTTGATGTAGCTAAAGACTTTTGATGGTAAGACTGGAATAATGTTGTCTGCATATGGATTTGATGTGTAGGAAGCGCTAGTAACCAAGTGCTTGGTTGTTGTGTTCATGAATGTTGTTTATGCGAAACAGATTCCAGATGCTGAATTGAAAGTTCTGCTTTCTCTTTCAGTGTAGTGGATCTTTTGAGGCCTTTTTAGAATTTTATTGTAGCATTTCTTATACCTTCCTATAGCTCTCCACAGTGAGTTATAATCAGTGCAGAGTGAATTAAAATAGTTTGTCCAGTCAAGTTGTGCTTGTTCGTTAGTATGGAACTTGACTGTGTTATGTACAGTCACATTTCTTGTGCACTGAAAATGCCTATTTGCGGCATTTCGCTGCTTAATAAATTGTTGTAGCTCCTTTGATCTGATGTGTTTCTTGCGGGCCACTTCTTTTCTTGCATATTCATGTGTGTATTTAATTGTATCAGTAAACTCCTTGATCAGACTTTCAATGTCATTCCCTGAATGTGTCATTGGAAGGGTGTAATACATGTTGTTAAGAACTTTGGCATATAATTGCCAGTCAGTTGTAAACGCTCTGGTGTGGTATAACTACTGTTGTCAAAAATTGTTGTAATTGGGTTACGATCAGAAGAGAGTTTATCCAGCACAGAAATGTCCAGCAGATTGCTGGTATTTCTTAGCAGGAAAAAATCTATAATTCCTGTAGAACCAGCTATATATCGTGTTGGGGTGTTTGGAGCTGCTATGTGTAATGCCGCCGAATTCGCCATAAGTTAAATATTACGTTTCGTGTGGGGTTTAAATTATAGCCAATTCCATGTGCAGTGTTGTGCATTTAAATCTCCACCTATAATAGCATCATTTCCAATTGAGAGTAGAATGTTCAAGTTGGCAACGACTAAGGCTTTATTACAAGATAGTGGAATGTAGGTGGAGATAAAAGTGTATGTTATGGGGGTATTTGATAAAAGTGATATGTTTGGTGGAGATAAAAGTGTATGTTATGGGGGAGTGTAATAACTGAGGCCTCTATGACTGAAAGCTATAGAATTGTAAAGCCCCATTCACATGCAACGCTCCTTTGCACAGCTGCCATTAGCAAGGGGAGAAAAAGGAGACATGAAAGAGTTTCGTCTTTAGGACCTGTTCAGAAGACAACCGTCTTCCTTCCCCTTTACACCCTAAGCCTTCTGTGAACAATCACGTCTCCAAATTGGCCAGATTTCTAATACTGTTTACACATTTTTAACGTTTACTGTTGTTAATTTTGTAATCTGTACTTTCGCAACTGGTACGTGAGCTTTCGTAATGGTTCCTGAAAAATATATGCTTTTTAATTATTATTGTTAGTTTATAAGCTGTTATTTATTTCTCTTGATACTTGTCGCTGTGGTTAAAAGATGGTAATGGATTTTTAAACTGCTTTCCAATAAGATATAGAACTCAAACTTTGTACATACTGCTTGTGGGATGGTGTCCACGCTTTTGATTTTTAGAGGATTAGATTTTTCAAATTTAAAGTTGAAACGACTTTTTGCAAATATTAACAAATAAACTGAAAATCAGAATATTATAGTTTTGCACCATAACAGAACTGTGGAAGAAAAAAAAAAATTAAATGAATTTTTTAGCATAATTTTTTTTAAAATATTTGGGAGAATTTTAAAAATCTATTATATTTTCAGACTTCTGACGCCCATTTTAAAATTTCATCTATAAAATATATCGGTTACAATTTCTGACCTTTTCACATTATAAACAAACTTTTCGCATTTTTAAAAAAAACAAATGTAAGGAATTGTTGGATGATTTTTTTCTTTTTTGAAAGATATGCAATGAAGCAGAATGGGAAATATTGGTTCTTCTTTGGCATCAATTCAACATCGTTTCAAGTAATAATTCTTATATACACTATTTTTTTTATGACATTTATTATGTTAGTTGTTAGTGTTAGTTCAGCACGAGATTGGAGAAGTCTGAGTTAACTTTCTCTTAGAGGGTTTTGCATTCCGTGTGTTTAACGTTCTTATTACATAACTACTGATATACTTAGTGATTTCTAAACACTTACGAATATTTCTGTGGAAAATTCCAGAACTTTGAAGTGTTTTTGTTGTAAAAAAATTTGATTTAGCTATCACATCGGATTTGAGTGCAATGACAATCATTTACGAACTTATCATCTATTACAAACCCGTATGCACGCACAACATATTATATTTTAATGTATTAAAATTGTTTTGAACGTGTTTTACAAAACAAAAACAGGTAAAGGAAAATTCTGCTTGCGTTTTATGAGGTTTGCAATTTTTCTGGCCACATAAGGTTTTTAAAAATGGTTTGTAATTTATGTTTATATTTCCCAATTGAATAAATAGCACTAGGTTTGATTTATATACATATGTGTGTATTGAAATTCAGTTATAAAATTTTAAGATTTGAAATGATTAAATGGCTATTTAGACAGTTTGTATTCTTTAAACTGCAAATGCAAACTTGAGAACCCTTTTGCGCTTTTTTAAATAAATCCCCTTTTAAAGTCCTAAAACATTTACGGTATGGACTAAATTTTTTTATTATTTTTACTGCTAAATTATAATTTATAGAAACAAGGATGGGTTTTGCAAAATACTGAAAGGAAAAATTATTTGAAAGGAAAATGTGACCGCGATCATATTTGTTTAAAGATTTAAATAAAAGTGTATTTTTTTTTCCCTCAGAAACTATTTTAATTGCAAAATCATTCCTTGAAGTTATTAAGAACACTCTAATAAATACAAAAAAAACTGGGGGCGAGAACATTCAAAATTGTAGGAGAAGAAAAGACATTTTAATTGTAAAATTTTTTTTTCAAAATTTAAATTAAAAAAATACTAGCAAAAACTTTTTTCAGCTTAAAATTATTTTGTCTCACAAAACCATTTAATAATATTCATAAAAAGTAGATGGAAATACTTAATTTTTTTAAAAAAAATCATTCAAAAGGTACCAAGTCCCTTTTCGCGTTGAAGCCGATATGCACTTGTCTTAACTTTACTTTTAATTTGAACGATATTTCTGGAGTATAACCAGTATCAGATAACCTTGTCTGTATTTGTCTATAATTTCCGTATCTTATACAGTTCTATCTAAGTTTTGGGGGGATGCTATCACATCCCCAGACATCTATCAGCGTGATTGTTTCGCTGACAGTCAAGCGAGCAGTAACTAAAATTAAGTGAACCGCGCGGAATAGTACGGGAAATCTCCCCATTTGCCCTGCTCCCGAGAGGTAAGGAACATTCAACCAAGTTCTACCTCCAATTCGGCAAAGCAGTTAATGCTTGTCCCATGTGAACGGGACACGTTGGAAGAACCGGTTTTCGCTGCCGGTCAAATCTGCTCTTGTGAACGGGCTTAATTGGATGATGGGGAATTCAGCATTTGACAAGGAGTGCCGTTCCACCTCCTCTAGACCATCTTCCATACATATTATCTGTTTGACCTGTAGACATTGTAGTTAGATACATAGAAAGGAGTTTCCGGGCCAAGTTTTATGTTCTTGTAGGAACACATAGAAAGGAGTTTCCAGGCCAAGTTTATGTTCTTGTAGGAACCTGATATCGAGGTTGTACTCATTTACGAAGTCCCACAATTCATTGATTTTGTGGGCCAGTCTATTTGCGTTCCATGTAATCACATTGTTAAACTTATAAACATTATTACTCATAATTGGTTGAGGTGAATACAATCACTTTTCTATATTATCAGCCATCTCTGCAAAACAGGAAGATTTGCTTTCTTACTGCCAACACTTGGACATTCTTCATGTTGATTTTACGGATTAATTAAAGGATATTTTAAATATGAATATACCGAGTTTGGGTTTCAGATCCTTTTGCAAATGCAGATACAGCAGAATCATTAAACTTTGAAGAGGAACTAATAAAATTCTTGGCTAACTAAAATTAAAATTCCGAAATGGTTGTAAAAAATTCTGGCTTCAAAGGTCAATACCAGCTCTCTGGATTATGGGCAAGAGTACAGAAAATTTTATTTGCTTTTTCTTCATCATATTTGACTAAGTTCAGTGCTAGTGCAGTAGCTAATTTACTCTCTAAGAAAAGGAACAAACTGCACATAACTGGATGTGGCAGTTTGCAAGTAATGTTAACTCAAAATTAACAAATTTTTAAAACTCTACCAGCCTTAACCATCTTATTATTATTTTTTTTATTTCCAATTGCTTTTATGTTCATTTTTAAATTTTTAATAAACAGTTTTTTTACTACATTTGATGGTCATTTTAATTAATTTCTGCTTTGTGATTTTGAATAGATAGACAGACAGATAAAATAGCTGCAGATATATGCAACAATATTTTTACATTTGGTAAAATTAACTATTATGGAGGAGAGGGCATTGGAATTCTTTTCTCTTGTAATACACTGTAAAGTGAATTTAAATCGATTTGTTATTATCCTGAAATCGCATCCCCACGTGAAACATGAAGACCTCTTAGTTTCTCCTAATTTTTGCATGAAATCTTCTGATTTCTCAGATTTCAAAGCTGACAGTTATGTAAATTGGAAAATAAATATTCTGAAGGAAATTAATGACTATTAAGTGGTTTAAATGATTTTAATAATAAAACTTGATTTACTTTTTCAAAACAATTCTTAATTTTTTCAGACTGGTGAAAAAAATTTTTAATTGTACAAAAGATTAAATGATTCATATTTAACTTTTAATTCACGTAAGTACTGCAGTTTGCAATTTACTATTTGCCTCATTTTTTCCCTAGTAGATTATCTGTGTTTATATATGTTGTATTATCTTCAGGGTAAGTGCATTTTGTAATGGACGCATAAATGGCTGTTCTACAAAAGTCTTATTTCCACAAATCATGGGTAATCAATTTCCACAAATGGAATATTTGAGTCAGGGACATTCCCAAATATTCAAATTTCTGTCAAGATTCTGAAATGCTGTAGTTTCTATGTATTTCTTATGTGACTTTAGGAAATTTCACTTCTTGAACCTTCATATTTTATTTTGCTTGTAAATCTCTGTCCAGGGAAAGTTCTTTCATATTTCATTATCCTTTTGGCTTTGGAATCTTCATTACGTCAAATTAAAAAGAGCCAGTACATTTTTGCCATCATTGCGATTCATGTGTGTGTTTATATATATATACATACATAAATTCATCATTCAGTTATATATATACATATATATACACATACATGCATGTGATCTTTAATTAGAACTTCTAAATTTCATTATGATTTTGTCTTTCTCTATTCCATAAAAAGTTTTAAATTTTTTGTAGAAGGGAGAACTGGTGTGCTTTACATCCAAAGCTCTTAGCTATGAAAATCTAACCTCATATTTGAATTAAAACTGGGGTTCTTTATGAGTTTGATTACTTCTAGATATTAATTTTTTTTTCAGTTTTTAGATATTACACTACACAAATCTTTTTTCCCATTTCATTTTTAAAACTGTGCATTTATTTACAATAATATGTTTACATGCTCAAAAGGTGTATTTATTGTCCACATAGGAATTGCATGATGCATCACCAAACTTCATTATTGTATATGACTTACAAAGTGGGACATTATTTAAGAAATGGAAACCAGAAAGTAGTAGTTGCAGCATAGCTATATCTTCTCAAGGTGGTTGCGTTATTAATGGTTTGGAAAATACATGGGTGCTAGTTTGGGATTTGTCAACAGGGGCTAGAAGGTAAGTTCTTTTTGTCTGACCTTCTATATGAATTATATTGTGATAAATTGAGGAATACATGATATTAAAATTTCTGTTCAGCAATAAAAAATTACACTGTAAGATGTTTATATGGATAATCTATATCAAATTATGATTCAATGACCATCTCACCATAGTCTTGCATAAGTATTGTAACTTTATGGTAATTGTGAAAGTTTTACAAAAAGGGAGTTTAAAAGTAGTCTGTAAGTGAACAATGTAATTTTTATTTAATTTTATCCATTAATGATGTAAAAAAAATCTGCTAAATGATAAACTTTCTTATATTTAGAAAAACCCTAAAAATAAAATAAATGCAGAATTGTAGTAATTTAGATTTATTCTGTTAATTTGCAATATTTAGCATTAATTACAATTAATGTAGTGAATTCATTTAATTACCATAATACTATCATTAGAACCATGGTAAAAGTTAAAACCAGTGACCAAAAAAAAAAAAAAAAAAAAAAGTGTATGCCTGTAAACATAAATTAGTTAATTTAGTGTCATTTATGTATGTATTCTAACTCTTGTGTTTTTAGCTCAGGTTACAGTTTATGATAATAGATTTCAATTATGAGTGCATTCTGAATTAAAGGTAGCTGCACTTAATCTGTAAAGCAACCATCTATGGAAAAAACTAAGAATTGTCATGAATATTCTTCTGCTGTCGTGTCACGGTGATGACACTATGACTGTTATCCTATTTATTTTTAATTCATCTTGCTTAAAATACAAGAAAGTGATCAACATTAGTAAGATGTGCATTAAATAAGCATAAACAAGTCTTCATATATAAAAAATGTATGATATCTCTTTTTAAATGTAGATTCACTCTGAGAGGACATAGTGCTCCAGTTGATCAGATTCGAATGGAAGAGCTAGGTAAAAGATGTCTAACATATGATTCTAGAGGTCGAGATCGAAGTGTACGAGTATGGGATGTTACAAAAGGTACCCATATGTTTTAAAGCATATACGGGTTTATTTATTATGTATTTCAAAATTTTATCTTAATATAATAACAATGTTAATAATGTATATTTCTTATTTAATAAACCGTATATTTCTGCAGATGAGAGAGTAATTGAATTATAAAAAAAGGCCCCCAAAATACAGGGTGATCTTAGAGGGCAGATTTAAAAAAAAAAAGAGCGAAATTTATATGCATCAAAACCATTATGAAATAAAATAAATCACTCGCAAATATATTTAAAAACCTACAAAATTCTCATATTCATCATCTAAGGCAGGCATGTCAAACTCACAGTCCTGGGGTCACATATGGTCTTTGACTCATTTTTTTACAGCCCACAGTTTGAGAAAATAACAGTATATAATTATAATACGGAGAGTGTTTACACATTTTTAGAACGATTTCAATAAACAAGTAAGAAAAGCAAATGTTTTGAAATAACAATTTCTGGTAACAACATGCTATTTGAAATGAGAAATATCATCTGCTACTTTTAAATTTATTCTTCTTTCAAATTGTCACATATAAACAAGGTATGGATTGAAGGACTTTTTTTTTTAACTTTCCAAGAAACATAGTGAAATGTATGGTATTAAAATTTCTAAGCACAAAATAAGCACATTATTAATCAGAAAGAGAAACCATTTGTCATTACTTCTTCAAACAAATGCCCGATAAACAAAAATTTACAACTTAAGAAAGTAAACTTTATGAATGAATACATTGTGAGCCTTGATGAAGTATGGGTTTACCTAAATGAATGAAAGAAAAAAAATTCTCTTTATTAATGAAAACGAAGAAAAAGAAATGTACAAAATCTTGTTTCAATCAGTGCAAAGAAAGTTTCAGTAAGAGATTTAGGATTGTTGCAGGATTCTTATACAATGGTAAATTGAAAATAAGAAGAGTGAAAAAATGTTTAAATCAACTCATCACATTATCAAGGAAAACGTTTTGTGTCGGATATTTACAAAAGAAATTCTGTTTCTTTATACCAATGACTTTCACAGAGTGAAACTTCATCAAGACAAAGCAACAACTCATACTTCAAAAAGTACCATTGCATCGCTTGGAATAAAGGAAGTCTGATACAGGTATTGCATATGTACCTTTTCAATGTATTCTTCAAGTCCCCTGACATTTCTCGTTTGGAAAGTTATGCCTTTGGTCTGTTGGAAAGAGCTCTTTCTAAGTGCAGACCCCACAATGATTGATAAACTTTGGAAAGTAGTGGAAAAGGATAAGAAATCAATACCCCTGGAAATTTCATGAAAATCCCTTCTATTGTGGATATGACAATGCAGACTTATTATCCAAAAAAGGTAACAAGAGAAACAAAGATCAAACATTTCAGATTAAACATTTAAAAAAAATACTCTTTACATTTTAAATATTAATTAAACAGCCCTGAAATTGTTCTAAAAATGTGTAAACACCATCTGTATGTTAATAGAAAACCAGAATTCCACCCTATATTGAGGTGTGTGTAAAACCTTGGATGCTAAAAAAGTAGTCTTAAGGTGGTCTCTTTATAAAAATATTTTCTCAATCGATGTTAAGAACGTTGCAGACCATTTACAGATGGAATTAATGATTCAAAGCAAAAATTCAGTGAATTGAAAGTAAGTAGAGCTAAAACGTCAGTATCTTGAATTTTACAAATATTTGCTTGTGTGCCTCTCAATAAGCTGCAGATTTGTACTTTATGCGATTTCCGTGTTTAGCCATGCATGTTAATGTGAACAAAATTTTTCGCTGATGAAAAGGAACAAATCCCCAACAATATCAAAGTTAATGGGCATTCGTCTGACTTCTGAAAATTGTTAGTGCAAGCACCATGTATCCAGACATCTGCATTGGAAGGAAAATGCTGTAAGTTCTCAGGAAAGAACCAATAGCTATACATCTACTTTCAGGACTTTTTTTTTTTTTTTTTCAAGGAAGAACTACAGTATTAGGATGGTTTTATGTACTTATTTGCTTTTTAAATATATCATTAAGGGGGGAAATAGCTTTTTCTCCTTCCTTGTGGTTTGCAGTGTTGTTACTATTTGTCCTGCTAGAGGTACTGAGTTGACATGCCTGATCTAATGCTAGAGCTCCTCAAGTACATCCTCACTTTCATTGTCGAGAAGCTCCTCATATGGTTCCCATGTTGTACCTGGCTAGTCAATTTCCTCTTCATCATCACTATGCTCTAATAAATAGGCAAATAGTCCTGAGTACCATCCATAGCATTAGAAACCCCATACTTTTTGAAGGATTCTAACACTGTTTCTAATTTCTCTTTTTTGAATGATTTATTTATAAGATCACACAGCACATCAAGTGACGCAGCCCGCATAGCTCCAGCTTTCATATACCGTAATTTCCGGAAGAAACGCTGTGGCGTTTACGTGTTTAAAACTTAAATTTTCAGCGGGTGCGGCGTTTAGGTGCACTAAAAGTAAAATATTTCCTATGATGGTCATTGTACATAGTTTGGATGGCCTTGTCATTGTGCATAGACTGTTGCTGTTCCCAATCAAAAGACCACTCAGTTGCTTTTTGCGAACGTTATTTTGTTTTCATTCTTTCCCTTGAACGGACCTACATGCCTTATTCACCCTAAACAAGATCTCAGAACAATAACATTCTTCCCCCTTTCAAATCAACATTCTCAGCAGTTTGAATAGTCTCTCTCCTCTGCGATTCGATGAATCTTCCAAGACCCATCCTCTCTCCACCCCTGCCTTTTCTGCAATTTTTTTTAAAGGCGGACACGACTCCACCTGCCTCGCAATAATGAACTCTGATGTATCTCCCCTTCAGCATGAATCAATTTTTCTTGGCATTCTGCCAGATACAGATCCCATCAGTTTGGGTACAAGTACTTGTTGGACAGTTTTTAAGTAAAAAGGGAGTGGAAAATTTTTGAAAATGTCACCTAAACGGCACAGAAGCTATACTGCTGGTTTTAAGCTTAATGTAATTTCACGTGCTGAACAAATTGGAAATCGAGCAGCAGCTCGAGAGTTTGAAGTGGACGAGAGATGTATTCGATGTTGGAGAACTGAAAAAGAACTTCTTAAAAATATGCCACAACAGAAACGAGCCAAAAGAAGTGATACTGTAAGGTGGCCGAATCTAGAGGACGACCTTGCAAACTGGATAAAGGAGCAACGAGGAAAGGGAATGGCAATTTCAACTGTAAAAATTCGCTTACAAGCAAAATTTATAGCAAAACAAATTAACATAAATCAATTCAAAGGAGGTGTAGCAGATTTATGAAAAGAAAAAATATTTCTGTGTCTACTAGAACAACAGTTGGGCAACAATTACCAATGGACTGGCAGGACAAAAGGCATCTTTTCTAAAATATGTGACAGATATTATTGACAAAAAAAAAAACTTCTTTCATCACAGATAATAAATATGGACGAAACTGAAACGCCGTTAGCTTTCGACTCTCCTGAAAACAGAACTGTTGATGAAACTGGTTGCAAAAACTGTATCTGTGCTTATGATGGGAGCATAAAAGAATGTCATTTACATGTGTGTTAGCTTGTGCCGCAAACGATGACAATCTAAAGCCGATGATCATTTTTAAAACGAAAAACTATTTCCTAAGGGAGATTTTCCTAATGACGTAATTATTTGTGCAAACGAGAATGGATGGATTTGCGAAACAATCATGCATGAGTGAGTACAAAAAGTTTGGCAGTGTCGTATGCGATCTTTTTTCCAACCAAAAGGGTTATTGATAATGGATTCCATGTGTGCTCATTTACTTGAGTCAGTGAAAACCAGATGTCAAAAATTGTCTACGACCGAAGCAATAATTCCTGGTTGTTTGACAAAAATCTTACAACCGCTAGATTTGTCAGGTAATAAATCCTTCAAAAGCTGAAGTCCAAAAGCAGTGGTAGTGTTGGATGAGTGAAGGATTGCATACGTATACCAAAAGTGGTAAAATGCGTAGAGCATCTTATGAAGAAGTTGCAAAGTTGGTAGGAAGTGCGTGGAAATCGGTAAAAACATCTTGAATAATAACAGGGTTCAAAGAAGCTGAAATTATAGCCTTAGATAAAGAGACTGTAAACCAAGAGGATGAATGTGATGATCTGGAAGACTTGGACTTAGATCAGGATTTACTAAATTTTTTTAATTCAGATAGTGAAGAATCAGATTTTGATGGCTTCATATGATGTATAGTTTGTTGTAATTCCTTTTGTAAGTAAAATTTAAAATTTCCTTTTGCCATCCAAATTTAATATTTCAATGTTGCAACATTTTTTATAATATAGTCTGAGTATTACAAATATGGACTTCTTTAGTGGGTAAATATAAGTATATACGTGAAGGTAAATATATTTTCCACATTTCTTACCTTTAATTTATTTTTGAGTTATGGTTTCATTTCATGCATTTTTCTTAACTGGTATGTCATATATCAGGACTTAGGTTGAGATTTTGCATCTATACGGCCCACGACAATGTCATGCGCAATTTAATCTATTGCGGCATTTACGCTGATGCGGCGTTTCTGTGTAATTTTAATTTTTTTCCTGCCATTTCCCGAGTGCGGCGTTTACGCTGATGCGGCCTTTCTTCCGGAAATTACGGTACGTTCATCATCTAGTTATTCTATTGTTTACATGTGTGATCTTTGAATGATTTATTCAGAGAGATTTCTAAAGGTTGCTTCGAAGTTAAACTACCCAGTATAACAGCAATCTTAATAGTATTCTAAGTGATTTTTAATGTTCTCAATTGCTTGATTGTGAAACATGTCCCAATGAAAAGACTGCATTGCTTTTGTAAAATACATGCAAATTTTCCAAAACCACACAACTTCCATCCACAATTTAACACCATTCTTGTGCATCCACCCCTTTCCATGAAAATGTATGAAAATACGTGGTGGGAATTTTATTAGAGGTGTAATTTTCCTCTTTATGATGACCATGGATTTTAATTTTGTTCCATCTGCCATGTGAATAATACTGTAATAAATCCTCTTCTTTTCATGATCTGTACTTCTGATATGAATAACTGCCTTTTGTTTCCATATTTGAATTGTTTATTAAATTGAAGTTCATGTGTTTATCCATATTTCAAATGTTAGGTATGGAAAGTTGTATTTTCCCTCATACTAATAGTAAACATGTGAAAACTCGTAATTTTATGGTCAAGGTCTTGTGGTAAATTCTATGCAATTTTTCTCTTCTGTTATATTACCAGATTTTTTTCTTTTCATGAAATGATTGCACAAACCTACTGTTTAAATCCTTGGCCTTGTTCTGGATTGGTCCATGCCTGCTTCAGTGCATAAACCCTAAACATATTTCTTGTAACAGCATAACAATTGTACCCATTCTGCAGTGTTATTTTCTAAATCTGGCCAGCAAGCTATTCCTCTTCTCACAGAACATTTTTTCATTGGCATTTTCTTTAATAGCATCTTTATTCTCCAATATCTTACCATCTGTTTGTTAATCGAGAGCCCTAGGACTTTTTACTTGAAGTTTGCATCATATTTCCTTCTATTTGGAGGTTGCATGTTTGGGGCTACACTTTATAAATTGTTTGCTGATTACACTTGTAGTACAAATTGTTTGAACACACAACCTACAATAAAACTCTTAAGAGACATATGTGAGTACTTGATTCATCACATGCTTCTGTAGGCAATGCTACCGATGCAAATGATGATTACTTGTCTTAACTAAATTCGTAGGTTGCTTGTAGTTTATGAGTCATGTTATAGACAGATATATACTAAAAGTATAAAACTTTCATGAAAATTTATACCTTGTCTTATCTATGGAAATATATGGTATTTATCTTAATATATTTTGTTTTGATTTTTCTTTTCACATAGTAGGATTGTATGGTGAACAAAATAAATCATTCTAAATTTGAGGTAATAAACATTTCATTCTCATTAATATTGTGGTTAAAATTATTAATAATTGCTCTTCGAATCTGATAAAGTATTTTTGATACTTTTTAAAAGGTATTAAGTAATATTGTTTAAAAAGTTTTTGTTACTTTGAAATTCTACATACAATTTTAATTGTCATTATATATAATTAACAATTCTTTAAAATACTTTATGTAAAAGAATTTTTGGAAAATTATTACCTCAAAATCATGCGATTGATATTTAATAACATTTAAAATTACGGAAAAAAGCAACCGTATTTTGGTGTAAGATTTGAATAAAACTATCAATTTCAAGGACGTAAGTCACTGTTCTTTAGGAGCAGGGGGGGGGGAAGAAAAAAGAAAAGGAAAAATTCTCCCCCTTCTGAAGAATATCTCATTTAAGCAGCTGGTTTTGTGGTCGTTTTGTTTTGTATATACTGATGTCCTCTATTAAATAGCTTACTTTTAGATTTAAGGGGGAAAAAAAAAAAAAAAAACATTTCACATTTCAGCTGTTTGTCAGTTCTAAGAGATAATAAGGCTACAACTTTTTGTGACATCGAAAAAACCATCTTTTTTTTAGCCCAAAGGGCGTTAGCCGAGAAGAGCTATTAATTTCGTTTTGGCATTTTGCATTGAAAACTTTAAATGCCAGTTCACTTTTCAAAACTGTTGCCACCAAATATTACAGCTGTGTATTATATTTAAAGAAATTAAATAATGAAGAATCTGCATAAATGTATGTATGTTTCTCGCATTGTAATAAAATGACAGTATCTAGAGCCATCAAATTTTGAATAACGTTTCCACCCATATATGGGCATCTGGAAGCCCGAATTTGGAATTTGTTTTATTATCTATTTCATATTTTCTAAACGATTTTTGTTTAGCAAAGTCAACGATTTCAAATCGAGCAGTTGCAACACTGAATGAGGAAAAAAAATCTTTTATCTTCAGCGCACAAGACTGTGTATCGGAAATTCTAAAGATATGTTCATTTTAAAAGTTATTTTGTGATATTGCTGTTGAACTAAATTTTATGGTTTAAGTGCAAAGAACATGATATTTAATAAATAATATAGGTTACCCACAAAACATTAAGAAAACACTCCTTTGGGTGTAATGTAAAATTTGAAAGCTTTCAGAATTTTTTTTTTTTTTTTTTTTTTTTTTTTTTTTTTAAAGTTTAAAATGATAACAAAAATATCTGAAATTTTTGGATTTGTGTGATATTTGCTTGAAAATTAATTTGCAAAGTCTTAGAAGGTTCCCTAAAATTTGTGGGAATTCACACTGCCATAAAATAGCTATCTAGTTAATAACACTTAGATTTGAATTAAAACCAGAGTTTGTATAATTAGTTTGGCAATTCTTGTGTGTATTTATGTATGTATCATAAGCTTAATTATTTAATAGTATTTATGTCTTAATGTATGAAGAATTTAATGTTATGTCCTTCTTTAAAAAAAAAAAAATTAGGTGAATGTTTAGCAGTCTTTACACCTGATCAAGAATTTTCTTGTTGTGAGCTGTCTCTGGATGGAAAAGCTGTCATTCTAGGTCTGAAAGGCTTTGATACTATAACCACACTTCTGCTGTGCCGGGAAAGTACAGTTGAGGATGAAATGCCAAAACTTACTTGCTATGGTGATCCAAAGTTGAAAAACAAAGTCTTTGATATGAGTCATGAAAATCAGTGAATTACAAAATGCTTTTTGTTTCCTTGAAAAGCTCGAGCATGGTAATTTAATTACCTTGTAGCTGCAGTTTCCATTGAGATTCATGTATAACAATTTTTATTAACTTCTGAAGGGGTCATTTTATCTTAGCACTACTGAACAATGAAAGCAACTGTGACATTGGTATTTTATTTTCCATGGCTTTCAGGCTGACTATATTTTCTAAAGGAAGAAGATAATGACTCAAAGTAATGTTGTTGCCTAGTAACCACTTGGAATTTTGAGTTAGTTTTTAAGTGAAAAATGAAGCCAAAAAAATATGATCATGGAATTACTGATAAGTGTTCTCATCTTAATCATCTCAAGTTAAAATAGTGATGATACCTAATGATCAACTTTGGATTTTATATATGTGTGTTGATATGGTAGTATTATGCTGCTACATAGCAGTTTACAATAACAGGTGGTGGATTTCAAGCTGTGTAAATGTCATGTTGGATATGTGCATTACTTGATAAAAAAATACTTTTATGTTGTTTTGCTTTCGTTATCTGTACATATAAATCAAATATTTATGAAACTCAGGTCTTTTCTTATGCATTAGTAATGCATTCATATTGCTTGTCAATCATTTTAAACATCAGGCTATATTTGAGAAGGCATTTTTGGTCAATACTAAAGAGTTTTATTATTACTATTATTATGTTCATATCGTTGATTATCTTACTGCTCAAAATATGATAAAACTGCTATGCAATGTGAATCAGTGTCTATTATCTTTTTTAATAACCAATTTTAAAGTTTACTGTTGGTAGCTCTTCACTAAATTTTAATGGGAAAAGAATTTTTGCTATTTGTGCTATGTATTTCTACTTGAACTCATAAATCATTAACAAGGATATTTACACAAGATAATCAATAATAGAATAGATATGAAGCTGATGCAAAATTTATCACCTTTTGAGATATTCAATTTATATATATATATTATGTGTTTACTATTTGCTGTTTCTAAACTTTGTGCATAGCAATAAAATTTATACAGATTACTAGATTTATAATGTCACAATGGAAAGTATTTTCTTTCGTATTCTTCACTATCATTATATGGTAAAATTCAGCCTTAATGCACCTTAAAAAAAGTGTTCCTTAGGTAAATTTACTCTTTAATTCATGTTTTGTGTTAGTTTTGTTACGCAATGAAATTATGTAAATGCGTGCTCTTTAGTGCCATATATTTTTTCTCCTCTTAACTTACCTACTTGGCAAAAATACTTGAAAAGCATGTTCTAAGAATTAACATGTTGATGTAATGATCAAATTGGTAAAAGGAAATTTTTATGCTGTATAAATTCATTACTCTGTGTCTGTGTAAAAACATTCCATTTTGAGGAATTCTGCCCTAATTAAAATATTCTTTAACTATAACATAGAATTACACTTTAGGAATTTAGACTTAACAAATCTTCGATTATATTTTTTAGCCTTTTCTTAATTGCAAAGCACTGTCTATGATAAGTTTTCATATTTTCTAAAACCTTTATATGTGGAAACAGGAAACATTTATATCAAGACAAAAAGTTATGTATGAAAGGGAATTATCATTAAATTAAAACAAGAATTGGTTATGTCTGTGATTGCTGGTTTTTTACAAATGAAGTCTATCAACTTTTATTGCAATAAAAAAGAAAGGGAGCTCTTTGGGTTTCTTTTCTTCTCTAAATAAAATCAGTACAGTAAGTTCTAAAAATTAAAATAAGGTGTTTTCTTTTCAAAGATTTATCTTAATTTCTCCAGCACATGTGTTAAATTATGGACCATATTTTTAATAATAGACTTGCAATTTTGCTTCATTAGGATTTGTACAATTTTCTTCCCTCAATTCATTTTGTTTCATGTTTGAAAAAGCATGTTCATGCTGATGTGAATCTGATAACTGGATCAAGATATTCAGGTTTGGCAGCAAAAGTCATTTTTGCTCTGTAGATCATGATGTGCTGCATTAATTTTAATGTTTCCTTGAATTAACTGTATTCTGTCCCTTCTAATTTCAAAATACATCTCATTCGCTTCAGAAATGCATGCAAAAGAGCTAAATTAGGAGAAATATCGCCCTGTGAGTATATATCTAGATTTATCTTAAATAAAATGTAGTATAGTATGAGAACAGATGATTGTAGATCAGTGTTGATAGCATGCTATAACCTACCTGGCAGAAATTTAACATTAGAAGCTGGTTAAGGGTTCAGCGAGTGGTGAATGTTTAATTATATTCCATTATAAATAAAATAGCATGTTAAAAAGAAAGTTCAATTCTATTTTGTTAGACAACTATAGTCTTCTTTCTTGGCTTTTATATTAAGTAGCATATTATATAAGAATAATGCCTGTAATTTAGAAGTTGCATTAAGTTTATTTCACTTCCAATTGTAATTGCATTAGCTAACGTTTATTGTGGAATTTATCTGAGATGACCACTTCCAGTTCTATGCTATCTTTTATGGAGGCATTTGAGAGAAGTGAATATTCAATACCAGTGTTTATTTATGATTTCAGAGCTAGTTGGCTGTGAGAGATGGTCACCATGAGAGCTTTCATTTTGTGTTACTTTGATTTAACATTATGCACGGTATTTTTTAATAAGCGGTTTTTGGCTCTGTGTTTCAATTGCTTTTCTAATTAGTCAAATAAAGAGCTTTCCTGATCTAACTATAAGTTCTTTTCTTATAGGTTTGTGTAAATACGAATCATTTGCATATATTTGCCATGTAGATTCGACTTTATTTCTAATATTTTCATTGAATAAATTAAAACTTAGGGTGCTTACATATTATCCCATCAACCATGAAAGTTGGCAAAAACCTTGCCAAAGATGCACCACTCATACTTATGGAATTCTGAAGGAACTAATGCCTCTTTATTTGATAAACAGTTTGATCTTCTTGGTTTTTATGCTTCATAAAAAGGCTTTCATCGATTTCTACTGTTACATTAAATCCTTCAATTTTTACCAAAGTACAGGTAATTTGTTACAGTATGTTAATATTTTGTCAAACATTCTGCTGACCATATCGTGTCCATTAATACATCCTTTTTTTCTGTTGTAGGATCCCATAATTTTCGAAAATAATCCATTGCTTGCTGTTTTGTTGAAAGCATATCCAAAATTTTAATTATTTTTTTTCCAAAATGCAAGAAAAATACAGCAGTAACAGTTAATTTGTATCCTTATTCATAAAAACAAAAAGGTGGGAGGTATTTGTTTCAGTCTGTTACTGTTTTGGCAGCCATGTGCAGCTGGCCATATCGGGTCCATTAATCACACTTTGCTTTCAGATAGAATCACATAACTTTGAAAATAATCCACTGTATGCTATTCTGTAGAATGCAGGTTCCAAATTTTTCCCCCAAAATGCTAGGAAACAGTATTGCAATATGAATTAATTTATATCCTTGTTCATAAAAACAAAAGGTGGATTATTATGAATCAATTGGATTACATTTTACAAAAGTATATATGCTATAAGTGTGCTGTTATGTCATGCTTATCCATAATTGGTACTAAATAGCTTTGCTTGGTGATATTTTCATGGTCAACTGGGTAATTAGTAAATATCAAACTTAGGGAAAAATATATAAAGCTGATTCCATTGTTTGGTAAGTATGTTACCATTACTTACTTAACATTGTACAAATTACTGTGCTAGGCAAAGAAAAAACTATTAGAACTTGATTAAGTTGACAGTGTGAATGAAATACTAGAAACTGTTTCAGTTTATTTTATCTGATGTATGAAACCATCATTCAAAGTAGTATAATTTTCTATGACGTAGTTTTATTTATTTTGAATTTCCAGTGTTTTGTTGTATTTTGTTCAGGGGAAAAAACAACCTTTGTTCGCATTTTCAAAGTAAATTTAATATATTACTTGGGATCGTTCCAAATGAATATTCAAAAGTATTTCAACTGTGACAAAATGTGATTTTTAATGTTGAAAATTTTAGAGTTATGTCTTCTGGTTTACAGTTTCAGTTTGTCATGTTTAGACTTGAATCAAATTTCTGGCTGTTTGAACTCAGTTTTGTTCCCTGAAAATCTATTAACCAGCCATTTGACTTTTTGTTATTATAATTTATTATTTTTTAGGTTCATGCTTGTTGTATAAACTTTATTGGTTTTCAGTATAATATTTAATTTTCAATATAATACTTGATATATGAACTTCTCTAGTATTACTCACATCCAATTGTTCAGAAGATATTTATTTTATATTTTTAATTCACTGAATGTAGTTTTTATTTTTTAAATTGCTAAAGAAATATCAGTGAGAGTTTAGTATAGCTCAGTTGTATAGATATGTTAAATTTCTTTGTATACGGAAATGTTTGGGTCAGTCAAGCAGAAATGTTGTAATTGAAATGTTTTGCTCTAGTCACCTGAATTGTCTTCTTACAAAAAATATTCATATATATATCTTGTTTTGAAAGCAAAAAGTTTTTTTATTTTATTTCTGTTATAAGTTGTATATAAGAAAAGCTTAGCGCGTTCTTCATCCTGTCATTATATTCATGTTATCATTTATTTTCATATTTTATGGTATTATAGTGCCTTATATTAATCATTATGCTTAATAATTAATCTTTTAAAGCATTTCGATATTTATTTATTGTAAAATTCATTTAATAACATTTTTATATACCATCAATTGTCTTCAGTTAGGGATTTTAAGTGTAATTCTACAATTATTTTGTAATTTCAGAAAAAAATGTAGAAGCAAACATTTTTATTATGCAGTTTTATAGATTCAGTATTAATTTCAATCAGTGTGTCTCATTTTTTACTGAGCATTATAAATTCAGTTATTAGTAGTGCATAATTATACAACTTTCAAAGACATAAACATATCACATTAAATTGCAATTTTATATTATGTTTCGTTTTTATGCTAAATTTTGATTTATTGTTGTCATTTTTTTGCTTACATGATTGCTGTACTATTATTTGGCATATTCTGGTCTTCACTGTGCTTTTTTTTTTTTTTTTTTCCCCTACCTTTTTTTACTTTCTTTGTTCTTTTTTGTTGCTTTTACTGTTGGCAAAAATTCTTAACTTGATGTTGCAGAAAAAGAAACTCATTTCAGAAGGTAGCAACTTGTCTCAATCTTCTGCAAGAATAAAATCTATATATTCAAAAAGGGTTATTTGTATAAAATCATCTATCATTTTGTTGTCAATTAAAATAATTAATCCTCTTTTTATTGCAGTCATTGTTAAATATACAATACTGCTGATTATTAAATTTCAATTTAGTGTGCATCTTGAAGTTATTTACTTATTTTAAACTGGTTAAATTCTAAATTAATTGGTAGTTTCATTTTTCTAGATCCTTAAAATGTAAATGGAATTTTCTGAGTTTCTCCATGGATTTATATTCTTGATTTGAATAAGTTTTGGAAATGTCAGTAGTCTTCTTGTGTAGAAAATGTATGTCCTAACTTATTTTAAAAAGATGCATAAAAGAAAAATGTTGCTCTCTGGAAATGAGAGGTGCTGTTTTTTCTCCTGAACTAGTTATTAATATTTCATCATTCAGGTATGATTTATGCTTATGCTTGCTATCATAGATTTGGAGAAATCCAAAAATATTTTAAAAGGACATCAATGGGGCTCTATTAACATTTATAACATTATTTTCCATGAACAGTGAAACTTCATTCTTAATTTTACAAAATTGTAATTTTGTGAAGAAAATGTATAGGCACTCCATTTTTTTAATTATATAAGTCATTGATTACTATGATATTTTAATAGGAGTAATTAATAAGGATAAATTCATGTAATTTAGAAATAGACATGAATCTTCTAATTTCCTAAAATTGCAGTACATGAATATGAAACTTGCAAAATTTTTTAATTATTATCCAAAGTAATGTTTATTTGAAAAAGTTTACAAGTTTGGAAAAATTTGTACAAATATCTTAGTGGCATAAACATTAAATTTTTATTTTCATAAATTCCACATTTGCTTTTAGTACTTTAGAGCTAAAAAGGGACAAAGAAATTTTCTGCTTGCTGAAAGTATCAAATATAATCATTGTCTCTGAACTTGTGCATTGGCTCAATTTTAGATTAATTTAATTATTTCAGCTGTATTATAGATAAAAGTGTAGACATAATTATTAGCCAATCCATAAATTTTATTCCAGATTAACAAGTTTTTAATGAAATTTGTTTATACCTTATGTCATATTTTCATATACTCCTGAATGCAAATCTTGGTGTTCTCTTTATTTTTCTTAAGCTATGAAATGTCTGAAAAATACAAATGCTTTACTAGGTTGTAAGTTTTGTAAACAAGGAAATTGATATTAGTATGTGGTTAATTAGTAAATCAATTTCTTTTCACATAACTGTTGTTAAAAATCAGTTGTTTAATTTTGATTTAAACTGAATAATCTATATTCAGACATTTTTATTTATATAAATGTTTCACTTAAATTTATAGTATGATTTTTATTTTGTTACTGGCAACATATTTGGTTGAAGAATTGTATTATTCTGATTAAATACAATTTATTCTAAATGAAAATATATGTCAGCACTATATTAAAAGTGAAATATATCTATTTTCTCATATTTCTTTCATCATATTTGTATTAAATGCATCATTTTGTAATGTAAATTAAGCTATCTTACATAAGAGTTTTAAAAATGGAAATCATGTTGAGAATATTTGTTAACAAATATGTAATGCTACTGAATTCTCTCATGTTAACCACAAGCAATTTTAAATTATTATAGCTCTTTTATGTGTTTGAAGTATGAATCTTATTATATTACATAAGATTCATTTTTAATGAGGAATTCTTATATTTTTGATGTAAAAACATAATTGTAAGAGTTTTGAATAATGTGTCACGTCTAGTAGTTTGCACATAAAAAAATGCAAAATGAGTAAACAAATAAAATTTTGGATATTATATCTGAAATATGTTTTTCATGGAATTTATGCAGATTTGAACCATGTTTTAAAAACATAAGATTTGTGTTCACTTGTATACCAAATGCTTTTCCTTTTTTATGAATGTGTACAAAATATTTCTCAAATGGAAATTTTAACTTGTGAAATGCATAATGATAACTTTATTTCAGAAAATATTTTATAAATATATTAATATATTTTTCATTGTTTTAAATTAGTTTTTTTTTTTTTTTTTTTTTTTTTTTTTTTTTTTTATTTGTTTTAATTATATTATTGTTTATGATGCTATTGATCCTAACAGGTTTTTTTTATTTATTTTTTTTTCCCCATGGAAAAAATTTACTGCAATGCCAACAAAAATCAGTAAACCATCAACAAACCACATAAAATGTTTAATATTTCTTTTAAACTGCACTAATCTCCCTAGTAGGATAAGTGAGTATGGTTCTTAAAAAATCGTTTGATTATGTCTTAATAGCAACAAGGTTGTTTATAAAATAGCTGTTGCTTGAAAAGCAGTTTGTTTGTTATTCATAAATATCAGTATTATAGTTATATTTATTAAATACTTTCAATTCCGTATGAAGAACAAAATGAAATCGCAGTTTAACTGATAACAAAGCTGCCATAATTGGCCTCAATTAAGTGTTTCTAGCATACATTTGAATGTAATTTAATTTTTTTTTTTTTTTGTTGTTGTTGTTGTTGTTGTTGCTGTAATTTGAGTCACCATGTGTTGAACTTTATATTCTGTAGTTGTATTTCTAACAGCAATGATGTACATAGAAGTACAGTACAAATTCTGCTATAAAACTGAGGTACAATACATTAGATGCCTTTCACCTATACTTTAATATTTTGTTACATAGTTCAACAATGTTGATAGTTTATTTTTTATTCTCATACTAAGTTTTTTCACTGAGCATTTAAAGGCTTTTAGACTTTAGATATTGTAGAAATCTTTTATGTTTCCAATAAGCTAGACATCTTAGTAATAACAAAACTTTGGACTCACTAATTTTAGGCTGTAAAATTAAGTAATACTTATGTAATGTAAATTATGCCTTTTATTGCAAGTCTTGTTAGTATAATAATTAAAAGTGTGCTAGTGTAATAACTCTGCAGATGAGAAGATTTCAAATTTGAATGTCATTGGTGGGAACATGCTCATCTTTTCAATATTATTAATTCTTTTAACTTTATTTTGAAAGCAAATATATTTAAAGGAATAATACAAAAATTATATAATGAAGCAAATTTCCATTTATTTTCTTAGGACTTATTTTACTTATTGTCATATTTTTTTTTTTTTTTTTTTTTTTTTTTTTTTTTTTTTTTTTAAATATTTTGGCTATAAAATACAAAACATTTTCTGTTTGGTTGCTTAAAACAAAAGTCTCTGGACAAATCAATAATAGTTTTTTTTTTTTTAAATTTTCATGGAATGCCTTTTCTTTAAAATTTAATGGAAGAGCATATTTTGTTTAATTATTTATTGATAATTAAAATTATTTAAATGATGTCTGAAAAAGTATTAGAATAGTGTGACTTATATCTGTAAAAAAATAATTAAAAAAATCACATTATTTCTTTTAAAGTATTTTTCATAAATAAATGTTCTTTTAAAATAAAATAATATTAAGCAAAAAAAAGCACTCATAGCACCAGGATTCAAACTAAAGATTTTCATCTCTATTGCATATTAACCACTTTGCTAAAATTTGCAGTAGATGAAGAAGCTTGTGTAATATGTGGTAACTTAAAACTGTATTCTCAGTTTTCTTGCTTATATATATAAAAAAGAGTTACGTTTTCAGTAGCAGAAAAAGTATTTTTATGGAGCAAAGTAATTAATCATGAATTCAATTGGTTTAGTTTTTTTAACTAAATACAGCAAAGCATATGAGGATCAGATGAAGTCTTGCTTTGGAAATGAAACAACTTTTATTATTAATTTATATCACATTTCTGTACTTCCAAATTGATATTTTCACTATTTCTGTGTGATTGGTATTGGAGAACAAATCATTGTTAAAATGGACCAAAAGAGTTTTTTTTAATGTTATTATTGGACTGAGTCATATTGATTTTAAAACAGATAGCATCTATGCATGTCTTTAAAAAAAGGAAAGGGAGAAAAATTTATGGAACTTAGGTGTTAAAATGCTTGAAAATCAATAATAATAATAATAATAATAAATAAATAAATAAATAAAAATAAAATAAATAAAAGCTTTAAGTTTAGAAAATGGTTTAAAAAAGTTGCTGAAGATGTTGCTGACTGTCTCTATCAAAGAGCATTAGCAGATTTCAATAAATGAACATTTTAATAAGCAAGTGTTTTTGAACAAAACTGAAAATGTAAATCTTTATTTAGCCTTTTTGTTTTACATAAAAAATATCTTTTACATTTTTAATGTATTATTTATGTAGAGTATATTGTGTATAAAGCAATTTGTTTATTTTAATGAAAGTTTTTCTGCTTCCTTTTGTAATTAATTTATAATTGCATTAATATTAATAAGCCAATGTATTAGAGTCATATTTTACTGCTTTTCTTTAGCCAATTCTTAATTTAATAATCAATCATTTTAATTGATTTTCTTTAGCCGGAAGAGAATGAATCCATTATGTAAACTGATGATTGCCATCACTGCTGTCAATACAATTTTTGGCTTTTAAATGCAGTTTTAAGTTCAACACCACAGAATGTTTAAAGCTATTTAAAACATTAAGCATGTTGATTTTCCTGGCTGACTACCTCATTTTCAGAGAGTGTGATTAGTACCATAAAATTGAAGAAATTCTTGAAAATTTATTTCCATTAATTTGTAAGATTTTTTAACTAGAAATTCTGCATACAAAATTATTACATGTGAAGTAATTTATTGATGTCTGACATCTAAAAACCTTTTAATTGTGGACATCTAAAAACCTTTTATAAATAAATATAAAAAATTAAGATATTCAAATTTTTCTATTTTATAAAATGGGACTTTAGGATTCACTCAGTATTGAATTTTTTATTATTGTTACTTCTTATTCTAGGTTGTTTTCATTTCTTTTCTTTTTCCTCCTTTTTTAAAGGTTCTTATATTTTGCTTTTTTTTTTTTTTAATGAAGTAGACATTTTCAAGACATGTGGCCTTGAAAATGTGTAGTTTCTGTTTAGATGTGATAAATGTGTCATCAATATATACTTAAAATTTAACATTTTAAAAACTGGAATTGCTTTAATTTACTATATTTAGCTTTATTAAGTGTGCATATGTGTGTAACAGTAGCTCTACCATAGCAGTTGAGGTGGTGGGAAAGGAGAATGTTGATTTGTCTTGTTGTAGTGTTAAGCTATTTATATTAACTGTTTGTTATTAAATGTTACAAACAAAGAATACTGCCACTTATTTTTTATATGTGTATGTCTATTTATCAAGAATGTGTTGGGAAAACTGACCAAAATTTGTGCAACTGATGTGAAGTTCTTTCATTTCTTATGGAAAATTCCCAATATAAGAGCATAATTTTTGTTGACACTTGTTAAAAGCTGTGTAACATTCATTTTCTGTTGGCAATGTTACATATCTGGCAACTATTCCTAGTATAGAGTTTTATGGAATAATTATACTTAGGATAAGGTAAATGCTTGGTGTTTGTTGTCAGTGATATTAGTTATTAAAGTACAACATTAACTACCAAGGTTGTCATTTTGATGTTTTAAGTGGATTCGATTCTAATCAAGGAATTGCTTGACATGTTTTTGGAATATTTTCATGTTTTATCCCTGGATTATCAGGAATTCTCAAGAAATCTACTGAATCTCAATGTTTGAAAATGTTTCTGCTCTGTGCATCTGCCATTTAGTTGAATCTCAAGTATTTGATCTGAAACTACTAACTGTTTAACCTCTCTAATCCTAAACCTGCAGACCTGTGTGTTCTAAGCATTCACAAATATCTGTTTATGTGTTGAACAAAATGCACTTTGACCTGTTTGTACATCAAATGAGCCAATACTTATAGGTTTTGATTCCCATGAATGTGTTGTGTGTTGTCAATTTTAGTTCAATATATCACATGTACAGAAATAGCCAGAAAAAAAAAAAAAAAAAAATTGTGTACTTTAACTGTTAGTAATACTGTCAAAAAAAAAAAAAAAAAGGGGAAAAAAAAAAAACTTTTGCATTCACGTGTACAGCTTCACATGATGTGACAGATGAATGACATTACTTGATTTGAATGTAAATTCAAGTTATATTCAGTTTAGTCTCTTAAAACTAGTCTGTATCTTAAATGCTTGTTTTTAGAAGAAGTTTTTAAGTTTATGAGAAATATTGTGTCTGTTACGATGAGTATTCTCAAAATTTGCAAATAAGAAAAGTGTATGAATATCAGAATATGAATTAGACAATTGTATTAAATAAAAAGAAAAATGAATTTGTTCCATAGTTTGTCTGGAAATGCATCCATATCAAGAAAAATAAAAATTGTTTTATAGAATGTTTGAGTGCATATTTTTATTTTTACATAAAACTCTGGGTTGTTTAAAATAATTTTTGTTATACTCATAAGCAAAAAGATTGCAGAATATTCTATAAAGAAATAAAATCACAGTAGAAGCATAAAAGACTATATCAATATAAAACTGTACATCTATTAATTATGATGTTTATGAAGATTTTATTATTCTGCGAGTTTTCTATTTAAACCTTAGAATTTTGAAAACTATTCTAGATACTAAAAAGCAAGTTATAGCAAACTGTTTTTTAGTCTATACATTAGACAGACCTGTTACAGTACAAAGTCTTTAATCCGGACTCGTCGGGTCTTCGGCGATTCCGGATTATAGATCATCAATTTAAATCTGGTAAGATGGCATGCAGAAATTATAAAATTAAAAATATGAAACCGTAATTTATGAAATAAAGAACAATTATGATCTAAGGGTATCAAATTTACAAAAAAAAAAGGCTTAATATTCATTTGTTTGCTTTATTAACAT